CAGGAACTGCAGGAGCTCCTCTTCATAGGGCAGCAGGTCCGGTTCTTATTAACCGCCTCCTGTCTTCCTGGAGACGGCTGCTGCCTTCACCTTCCTCTTCACCATCCACCTGATGTCGTAGTAACTGCAATGACATGTGTAATTGATTAATTACTTTAATATGTTTCTATATATAAGTTTACTGACATGTTTAAAGGGATACTATAGGCACCCAGACCAATGCAGCGCATTGAAGTGGTCTGGGTTCAGTGTCCCAGGTCCCTTAACCGTGTAAAGGTAAGAATTGCAAGTGCAACTGCAATAATTATCTTTATGTGTTAACTCCACCTCTAGTGGCTGGGTACAGAAATCCATCAGATTTGTAGATCAGATTGCAATATCTGATGGATGTGCTGCACGCATGCACAGTACACCCATCCGATTGCTATATCTGAAGGATGTGCTGCGTGCATGTGCTGCACACCCATCAGATTGCTATATCTGATGGATGGGCTGCGTGCATGCGCATTACACCCATCAGATTTCTATAGCTGAAGGATGTGCCGAGCGCATGCGCGGTACACCCTTCAGATTAAAGGCCCAGCTGATCCAGCGTTATCAGAGGCGGCACACATGCTTGCGGTGCCTCCACCAGAATTCTATACCTCAAGGCCTGCTAGTACGCAGCTGATCTCGCGTCACTTCTGGTGACATGGGGGCACCGGAAGTGACATCAATATAGAAATCTGATAGATATAGATATCTGATAGAACAGCAGCGTTTTGCAACATGACAGCCTCCCAATGCTTTCCTATTGGAAAGCATTGGATTTGCTGATCTTATCAATTATGAAGATCGCAGCCAAGGAGGCAGAGCACAGCTCTGCTATAAGGATGAGTAATTAAAGGGACACTCCAGGCACCCAGACCACTTCTGCCCATTGGAGTGTTCTGGGTGCCAACTCCCACTACCCTTAACCCTGCAACTGTAAATAAATATCGCAGTTTTCATAAACTGCAATATTTACCTTGCAGGGTTAACTCCTCCTCTAGTGGTGTCACTGAAACCCCCAGAGGAAAGCAATGAAAGCATTTTTAAATGCTTTCCTATGGGGAGGTCTAATGCGCGTGTGCAGCATTGCGTTGCATGCGCATTATGTCTCACCCCGCTGGCGGCCACGCATGAGCAATTGGTCTCCCCCTGGGATGGGGGGTGGGAGGGAGAGGGAGGAGACCTGCAGTGCCAGGAAAACGGTTTGTTCTCCTGGCACTGGAGTGTCCCTTTAATTACAGTTACATTGCTGAGTGGGAGGTTAAAGTGTGTTTTCACAGTTATAGTGACAGGAATGCAAACATGTATTCCTGTCACTATAGTGTTCCTTTAAAGCTGAGCTGCACATGGTGTTTTTTTCCCTCTATGTGCTTAAGTGACCCAACCCTCACTTTTAAAAGACTTTTAAAGCATAGCTGCCAATGGTGGGGGTGTGTAGTAAAAGCACATGGAGGAAAAAATAAGTTTTAAAAAAACATGGCATAAAGAAAATAATTTTTTAGGAATATAAATGCACTTACCGTTTCTTCACCACATCCTGGGTGCGGTTGTTCCCTCCAACAGCCTTCACCGCTGCCACAATCTTCCTCCACTGATTGTTCTTCTTTGCTCTTGAAGTCTTTTTGGCTGGTCCCCCAAACATACATTGGTAGTACTGGCAAAGCTTGTTTACCAGTACTGTATTCTCCTCTGTACCAAAACTATCAGCGTACTTATTCTTCCTCCCAGGATCTGCAGAATTTAAAATCCTGGGCTGCCTCTGCTTCTTCTTGCTTCTCCCACTTGCTTCTCCTCCCTCCTGGCCAGAGTGGCCAATGCCCCCCTCCACTATATCCATGGCTATGTCTCTTGAAGAGCTGGAGGAGGACATGACCACTTCTGGCAGGATCAGCATCAAAGTGTCTAAAATGGCTGGCAAGATGGTGGGCTGGCTTAGCTCCAAAATGGCTGAATGGCTGGCCTATAGAAAATCTGGATAGATTTTGCATTGACGGACTGCCTTGAGTTGATACTTTTTTTTTTTTTTTTTACAGTTTTGTCTGGCAGTAATTAAAAGCCTATTTAATTGGCTACTACTTTCCCACTCCCTTATAAAATGATACTGTGTTGCCAGTACCACTTGTCAGGGAAGCATGATGATTCATGAGCCCAAGAAACTAAGCAAAAGCAATGCATTGCATTTGCAATGTCATTCAACATGTGAATGACTATAGTAAGTGATGTTCGGTAGTTTACTTATAATGCCAATACATTTTCATGCGATTGGCAGCAGTCATGCATTTGACGGTTCGGGAGTTAATTTGGGAGTTTTAGGCGTAAATAGATTAGAACATTGTTCAATGCCATGTGTTGTGAGATCAATGTACGAAAATTTAAATGAATGAATGGTTTTACTGCGTTCACTTGAGGCTATTCGTTATTTAGGGATTAGGGAACTGACTTTTATGATTGCATTGTATTTGCAATGTCATTCGACATGCGAATGACTATAGTAAGTGATGTTCGGTAGTTTACTAATAGCGCCAATACATTTTCATGCGATTGGCAGCATTCGTGCATTTGACGATGCGGGAGTTATTTCTGGAGTTTTAGGCGTAAACTAAACAAAATACAGCATTCAATGCCATGTTGTTAGATCAATGTACAAAATTTGAAACGAATGGTTTTACTGAGTTCAGTTGAAGCTATTCGGTATTTAGGGATTAGGGAACATAGTTTTATGTATTCAATTCATTTGGTTTAATGAAATCATGCCGAATGAACGAACGAGTTAAGCCGAAACGAAAATACTAACGAATATTGTACGAAAACAAATGGAAGAATTGACGAATTCCGGTTCTGACTAAACTAATTTATTTTTCGTACGAATACATTCTAGTCTAGTATTTACCAAATGTGTCATGTTATATGTATACCCAGAATCAACTATGAGTAGGAGCAGGGATAAGATCTTTTAAACCTTCACTACAATATAACAATGTAATAATATTAATGGGTCAGGTCACTCGTTTATCTATCTTAGGGTTATCATAATTTATCTACCTTGGATTTAGTAGTGGCTGAGCTTTTCAAGCCCAATTCCTGGCCACTGGCATGCATAAAGTGGCCAGTGTAGACTATTTATCCAATCTCCACATTGTAGCTACAGTATTCATTCCCAAAATGAGAATGTGAAACACTATGTTGCAGGAGACTATAGATATAACATCTGGGAATAGAAGGAGAAGCATACATAGAGGGAAAAACTTAAGTGTTTCTCCTGTTATAGATGATACAATCAGTTAACACCTTTCCAAAAAGGGGCAATCACGTACCATCAAATGTGGTACATGGATCCTATTGCTTGGGAGCATCTCCAACATTTGTCAGAAAGATTAGGATCTAAATGGACTAGCTTTGTCAGGACCATGCACCAATTGTAAATGATTATTCTATGTTGCTCTATTTGGGAATTGCAGTGAAAGAAGCCTTTATAACATGAGAAAATATTGTGACATGTCCTCAGATACTGTAACAGATACTGTAACATTCAAACTTTTGCCCATGGTGTCACAAAGGTGCAGATTTGACCGTGTGGATCAGTTTATAGTGGCTACTAAAAAAGACTGGGCATACACCATTTGCAATACCTTGGGTTGTCTACTATTGCAAATGATATGCCATCATGGTGGTAATTCTCATTCCTGGGCTACCATACAGTCTCAAAGGCAACGTAACCAATCTGACAAATTTCAGTGTGAAAAAACTGAAAAGTGTAACATGCTATATTTCCCCCTGTAACTTTCCAAAACACCATAAAACCTGCACATAGGGGGTACTGTTTTACACGTGAGACATCGCTGAATACAAATATGTGTATTTTATTACAGTATAAGCAACAAATATTATGACAGTCACAGTTAGAATGTCACGTAGAACTAAACATTTTTTAAAAATTCTCATTTTCTCCCATTTTTCAATATTGTATTCATATTAAATTATGTTTTATACCTAAATATTTGATGTTAAATGAAAGCACTGTTTCCCCTGAATAAAATGATATATAATAAGTGTGGGTGCACATAATATGAAAGAGGCGAATTACGCCTGAACAGACATGTAGCGCAAATACCAGGCTTTGTTTATGTTTTGTTTTGATCACAACGTGTACATTTGGCTCAGTCCTTAAGGGGTTAAAGGCATCTTTAAAGAAGTTTTGGAAGATGCATGGAACCATAGTAATCTTCTATGGTTGAAGATAAAATCAGGGATTATAGGAGGCGGCTTTAGAGGTGTAATTTTAGAAAAAGGATGGTGAGAGGTAAGTAGCTTGCTATGTTTATCCCACATAGATAATATGACCTAGGTAATAGAGAGTATAAGTGGGCTTGGCAGTCTAAAAGGGTCCTGGACCCAACCAACATGCAGTAGGACTGTATTATTGATATGAGCTTCTTCTACAGCAACCCATTGTGTTGCTCATTCTGCAACATGAAGCATAATTAGTACAGCTAAAATAGCTGATTTATAATACATAACGACATCTGGGAAGTTAAAGCATCCATCCCTGAATGGTCCGCATAGGGTGTTAATGTTCACTCTGGATGTTTTTTCCTCCTCTCTTTGTATCTCTAAAAAGAAAGATTTGTGAATGGGGATGAGCAGTGAGAGAAAAATTTATGGGAGCTTACTTAAGGATACTCCCTGGTGGCTCTAAATCTCACTTGGTTGGGTACTAATGCTTTCAGCCTGTTAGCCAAGAGATTTTGCATAGATTTTGGCATCTATATTCAAAAGTGAGATAGGTCTAAAGTTTTTACATTTGTTGGGAGGTTTACCCAGCTTGGGGAGGAAAACATGACATGACATGAGATGACATGCATCAATAATACATCACAGTGCAGTCAGAATTCTAAACCAGTAACATGCTTACAGATAAAAATAAAATAACAATGCATGCTCAAATGAAGCATCCATCCCCATAACATAAAAAAAATATGGGACGCTTCACAAATTTGCAGGTCATCCCTATGCAGTGGCCATGCTAATCTTTTCTGTATGGTTCCAATTTTAGCATATGTGCTGCCAGAGGAAGCACAAACATTTGATCATTTTTAGGATATTGGTTATTTATTTCAAATTTTACTTTCCTGTTGTATTCAGTAAGGTTCCAAGAGTTATGTTATTTTATTTATAAATCTTCTTCAAAATTATTATGATCATTTTAACTGTCTAACTTAAGGTATTTATTTCTGAAGTGCTATAGAAAAGTATTTGAAAGGTGTGATTGTGAAGCTAACAATTCATGGAAGCCACTGACATGTCATTTATTTAACACAAGATTGCATAGACCCATTATTAGTAAAACTAAAAACATCAGCCCATTGAAGTCGTTTGGGTGCATACTCCCAGGTCCCTTAACCCTGCAAAGGTAATTATTACAGTTTTCAATAAAGGTTTGATAAACTGCAATAATTACCTTTGAGGGTTAACTCCACCTCTAGTGGCTGTCTAACAGACAGACACTAGAGGAACTTCCGGGTCGTTAAGTGACTTTTTGGGTTGCCTAACTGACGCTGTAAGTCCTCACGCTATGCATGGGGATATCCAGTGTCATGTAAAATCCCAAAGGAAAGCATGTATAATGTAGGAAATACTAATGCAAGCATAGCCATTGCCACGCATGTGCACTAGGTCTCCTCCACTGGCTGGAAGGCAACTTAGTAAGGCTTGCTATGCCATGGGCCTTTCTCTATCAAAGCACATTTCAGGGAATGTGTAATTTTAGCTGTTCTTTTAGCTGTTCTCATAAGGTTTTTAAACTGGTTAGAGTAGCACACATGCAATTTGAATAGAATTGTGGAGTTTGCACATTGTTATGCACTAGATGTATCATAATGTACATTTTAAAGTTAAAGGAACTTTTGTGCTGACAACAACATGGAAGAAATCTGAGCTTTAATCATATTGGCTATGTTATTCCCATATCACTTCTAATATTCAGTAACAGATTTTTAGGAGATGTATTATTTTATTCAGATTTTTTTTAAGTATATAAATTAAAGGATTTGAAAAGTATAACATTTTTTATTGTAACATCATTTTCATTTTCACTTTTTTTTTCCAAGCATGCTTCACTTGTTTCACATAATCTGCTAAACTTCAAGTGTTTAGGAAAAAAATGTCTAGAATAAATAATAGTTCAGTTAAAAATGACAACCTATGGTTAAATTGTCTTTTATTTCTCTCTCTATTTTTCTTTTTGCATTTTGAGGTAATATAGCAAAGTAACTCAATATGCTCCGACCCAGAATATGATCTTAGAAAGGCAATTTCTATCAATAATTTAGAATGAAACAGACCACTCATATAGAAAACTAGATGTGTAACCTTTAGCCATATCTCAGCTAGTATGAAGAGTTTCTGTATGCAAATCATCACACAATTTCCTTCAAGAAGTTCCAATAATTTCTGAACTGCAAAATTATGTGTGTCTGAGGTAAGGTCACAATTTATACCTGTCTTTAAATCAGCAAAATAGAAGGAAAAAGGAGCTTATTAGCATTCAAATGAATTGCTCTTTTAGTCTTTTTTTTTTCATATGAAATGCTGAAAACTTCACTGCACTTTGTTGAAAGCAGTTTCTGTGCTTTTGTATGAGGCTATTGACCCTTATTTGACAAGAATACCAAGCAATATACTGCTCACTCTGCCTTGGTATATTGGCTGTGTAGAAAGATAAATTAGTCTAACTTTCCAAGTTCTTCCCTTTTGATACATATGTTAAACATTATGCTTTAATTTTTTATTTTTTTTTTAAATAACTTGTGAATTCGGTTAATGAATAAAAAAAAAGAAATTTCTGATAATATAAAATGATAAAATATAGAAAATAAGTTAGTATTTTGGTATAATTTTGTTGAATATTTTAATACGGAGATATGTCATACCATAAAAATGATTTGCAGTTAATGTTCTTGAACCTTAATTTCTGTGTAGAGATTTTTATAATTGTACCCTGCTTTTCTGTCATAAATATACATTGGATAATTGGTGAGAAAGTAAAAGCCAGACATCGGTTCCCTAATATGCGTAGGAGAGAAAATATCTGCCTCTGTCACAATGTCCATGCATCAAAAAGAACCTTTTATAATGATTTATAGATACACATTCAGATCTAAGTAAAGCTTCACCTGACCCTGAAGGAAATCCATTAATTCTATGACTAGGGACATCACTGAACTGTATTAGGTAGAACTAATTAGCAATTAGAGACAGAAATGCTAATGGTATCAAGTGGGAAAAAAGGGTTTTCTAGGCGAAGGGATAACAAATAGTAGATATGCCATTTAAAATCAATAGATGAGCTTTGTGAACTCACTAATTGAATGTAGAAAGTAGAGAGGACAAATCTATTTAATAATGGAAGTAAATCTAAGTGTAAAAAATCTGATATTTAAATTCAAATAATCCAACACAGTGCCTTCAGCTGGTTCTCATTTGGGTTCAGGTGGAGAACCATCCCAAATGATATAGAAATCTTCACATCTGCAAAAAAAAAAAAAAAAATCTATATTTTTTATGCCACAAATGAAACTCTGAATCACAAAACAAACAAAATGGTTATGTCCATTACACATTTTATTTGTTTTGTTATTCGTCCATATAGGGTCTAGGAATTTGGTATTTCATACACATTGCCAATCACCCAAATTTTGATGAATTGTAATTCATTTGAAAACGAATGTATAAGTCTAGTGAACTTCAACATTTAATGCATGATCTTACTTAGTAACTGCACACTGACAGTAAGACAGATTATGCTTTAAAAGGATGCAAAAAGTATGCGAGGAGTATGCATAAAAAGTATGTGAAGTGTACTCAGGTCCTGATTACATAATTCTCAGCCCCTCTAAAAAATTGGTAGCCCACACACTTAGAGCCTCTTGATGACCATCTTAGGTGAGGGGCTCAGTGAGGCATCATGGCCCTTTAACAGCTGACCAGGCCCCTATATGATGTGAAGCCACAGTGCTGGGAGGATGTAAGTACACGTCACTTTCTCTGAGTTTACCAAGTTCCAGCCAGATGTCACTGAACCCCAGAGAAGTCATCCTCCTGCACCCAAAAGGTATGGAAGTAATGGGTTGGCTCAAAATGTGTAAATTGTAAGCTGTGTGTGTATCTATTGGTGTGTGGATGTGTGTGTATATTTGTCAGTGTGTGTATGTGCATATGTGTGTATCTGTGTGTTTACAAGGGTTTATCTGTGTGTATATATGTATGCTTATGTGTGTGTTTCAGTGTGTCTATATATGTGTGTGTGTCAGTGTAAGCTTGCATATGCATGGCAGTATAAGTGCATACATTCCAGAATTCTAAGTTCAACATTATGCAGAAACACTCCACTGCATTGAAATACCAAAACTACATACAGGCACAAGCAATCGAATGCCAGCTCTACATACAATTACATTTAAACACAAACATTGCATACAAGTACATCACTATTTTAAAAACACAACTGTACATATACACTGTATACAACTGCATTTAAATGCCAACATTACACACAAATGCACACCTATATGCACACGCACATACTCAATGCAAAAACATGTTTACATTCAAACACTGCTCACAAATACAACTCTGTAAGGATAAGCACATAAGCCGGCAAAGCAACAAATGGGACTCTACCTTTTGGATAATCTTAACATAGAACATAGAAACATAGAATGTGATGGCAGATAAGAACCATTCGGCCCATTTGGTCTGCACAATTTTCGAAATACTTTTAATTAGTCTCTGGACTTATCTTAAGTCTAGGATAGTCTTATGCTTATCCCACGCATGATTACACTCCTTCACTGTGTTAACCACTACCACTTCAGCTGGAAGGCTATTCCATGCGTCCAATACCCTCTCAGTAAAGCAATACTTCCTGAAATTATTTTTAAACTTTTGCCCCTTTAATGTAAGACTATGTCCTCTTGTTGCGGTCGTTTTTCTTCTTTTAAATATAGTCTCCTCCTTTACTGTGTTGAATTCCTTTATGTATTTAAATTTTCCATCACATCCCCCCGTCTCGTCTTTCCTCCAAGCTATACCTTTAACCTTTCCTGGTATGTTTTATCTTGCAATCCATGAACCAATTTAGTAGCCCTACTCTGAACACTTTCCAAAGTATCAATATCCTTCTGAAGATATGATCTCCAGCACTGCGTACAATACTCCAAGTGAAATCTCACCAGTGTTCTGTGCAATGGCATGAGCATGTCTCTCTTTCTACTGCTAATACCTCTCCCTATACAACCAAGCATTCTGCTAGCATTTCCTGCTGCTCTATTACATTGTCTTCCTACCTTTAAGTCATCAGAAATAATTACTCCTAAATCCCTTTCCTCAGATGTTGAGGTTAGGACTCTATCAAATATCCTATACTCTGCCCTTTGGTTTTTACATCCAATGTGCATTATCTTGCACTTATCCACATTAAATGTCAGTTGCCACAGCTCTGACCATTTTTCTGATTTACCTAAATCTTTTACCATTTTACTTATCCCTCCTGGAACATTAACCCTGTTGCAAATTTTAGTATCATCGGCAAAAAGACATACCTTACCATCAAGACCTTCTGCAATATCACCAATAAAAATATTACAGAGAATGGGTCCAAGTACAGATTGTTTGTGGTATGTGCGGGTGAGTCTCACTCTTTTACAACAGGCTCCCTTGATAAAGGCCTATCTTTTGCCGAAACATTGGGGGGCTTGCTGATTGATTTTTCTTCCCTCTTCTCACTAGTTCTGGTATGCGTTTGTTTTTCTTATATATTTTTTGATGGATTGTTAGGATTTGATATCTCTTTATTACATTGATATTCAGGTATTTGTTTACGCATCTAGCGGCTGTCAGGAAGACAGCCACTAGAGGTTGGATTAACCCTGCTATGTAAACACTACTATGTTTACATGTGAAGGGGTAAAACCTGAGGGACATTGCACCCAGATCACTTCTTTGAGCTGAAGTGGTCTGGGTGACTATAGTGTCCCTTTAAATCGAAAACCTTTTCCTAGATTACTCTTACCTTTAAAA